CATTGAATCTGTGATCTTCCCTTGAGCCTCCAAGATCATCAGATCCCTGCAGACGCCTGCCAAAATTCCAGGAAGATATCTCTACCCTGATGTTTGGCAATGCATATTTTCCTATCCTTTCCCATCAATGTGCAGGCCGGTGCTAAAGAACTCGAACTTTTCAGTACACCTGTACTATCCATCCCAAACATTACCTAGCTCAGTTTCGACCTTATTTAAATACCGTCTGAGTGACGGAGGGAGCAGACGATGAGTTCGAGAGCGCTCGAAGACCCGTAGAGTTGAGTCTGAGTGTTTAGCTTAAGCGGCTCGGCCCGCTCCATAGTCACAATCTTTGTCCTCTGGGACTCCAGAGGAGTCATGAGCCGCGCTCGTAGCCGAAGAGACCGTTGGCACAGAAAAAAATCGAGAGGGAGGGTCACTAGATGCTTCTGATCGCATACTCCAGTCGCAAGCTGTCCCTTCATCAAAGTCTGGCGCTCCCAGCGGCGTAAATTGGTGGCCATGAGACATCATCGGCTCGCCAGAATCAGCGGCTATGGGTGCCTGCACGAAAGTCTCCTCAGCTGCACGACCTACAACATAGTCAGTTTCAGGTTATCTCTTCCCGAAAAAGGTGCACATTACCATGGATATTCGACATCCTCCGGCGGACATTCTGTGGTTCGCCGGGCTCGCCGGCGAATTTGTATCCCAAAGCTTTCTCGAGAAAGTTCCTTCCGAGAATGATAGGATTCAAGCAATCCGTTGAATCTATAACAAGCATGCTTGTTACGGCATCTACCACTTCGTAAGGATTGAGAGTGAATTGAAAGCATGCAAAATGGCTTGGCGTGAAAAACCCAAGATGAGTTTGTTCAACATTCAGCCTTCCCAAAGGTACAGGATGGACCTCCAGATATAACCCACGAACTACCCTTTCCTCTATGAACGACCTGCTGATGTCAAATCGAACTAAAGCGAAGAGTGGAACATCTAGTCCATTTGAAGCCTTCACGCTAACAAGGATTCGCTGATTGTGAAAGAGTTTCGAAGCACCTTGTGGCTGATATAGTAGCTTCTGGGTACCTAAGCGAGGAGTGTCGGCTGCTTCGTTTTGGTGACTACGAAGTCTCAGCTCATAGAATTCTCCATTCTCCAGTGTTTGATGGTTCGTTGCCAAAGGTGGCATCTGTGCCAGCAAAGACAAGTGACTTTCGATCAACAACGGCCTTGCCACATCCGTAGTTGAAACAGGCTCAGCATAGAACTCAAAGCGAATGTCTGCTGCATTGGTTTGTGTCGAGCCTCCTGCAGTGTAGGCAGTATCGCTTACGCCATGGCTATGCTGCGGCTGAAGGTCTGGGCAGTTCAGGGCCAGGCTGACTTGCACATCAGTGCCTTGCATCTGGTACTCAGGGGAGGTATCATGGTTTGGTAGCTCGGCATTTTGAGGCCGTGGGGTCAACTCGTTGTCGTCCATATTTCTTGAACTTGGATGCCCCTCAAAGTGTTCGACCATGCTAATGCTTAGGTCAGGAAGCAAGTTGACGACTGCTTGAGCTGACTTCTCAAAAGATATTGAGTTCTCAGTCAGGACTGGCGACAGACGCTTATCCAGGCTCAGCCAGGGCGATGAGGCTTCTCCAGTAAAGCCGGCTATTGGAAGAGCTCTGTGTTTGTCCTGTTGATGATTTGCATTAGAATTCAAGAACTCCGAGCAAGTTATCTGCTGTTGTTCTATTGATTGAAGATCCATTGCGGGTGTGGAGTCCGGAGACAGTGACATAATGTTAGGGAATAAGCTTGAGCTACGAAGCTTTGAGCCAGGTGCCGCCTGAAGGGGTATACAGACTCGTATAGTGGAGGGGTCGGCAGGATTGTCGTGTCCTTGTCGGAGTCGTTCGAAGTATCGTGACTATGCTCATTGGCACGTATATCGTTATCTTGGTGAGATAATGCAGAACAATCAATGCAGAGGCAGTCCCAGATCCCAATCGATAGCAGATGTACCAGTCTTAACAAGACAAATGCCTGACTGGGCCGCCTAGGAACGGACTTGGTATTTGCTCGTGATTGCAATTGCTGTAAGGCAGCACGTGGATTTGTCCCACGAACTCTCATGATCTCCATCGTTGCCGCCATGTAGTTAACAACACTGTCGCTGGGCGCTTTTAAAGTGTACGAAGGTTGACATGGAAATGTAATTTCGAGCTAACGGCCGCTGTGGTTTGAGAGTATAGGTAAATGGAAAAGTCCAGCTCGCACATTCGACAAGAGCGGAGGTCCTTTGCGGCATCGTGAGCCGGCGGGTCTCTTCTAAGCCTCTTTTAAGACAGCTGTGGCGTCATCAACTTATCAAAGTAGAGATCTCACCGAGCCCTGATTGGGTTGTCCGGTGGGATTGATTGGTTCCCAGAGGACGTCTTGCAATAATCGTGCCCTCCGTCTTTGTAAGCCAAGGTGTAATTCTTCATGGTTGAAGCTCGGTGAACCAGAGACTGGGCTTTCAGGCAGCTTGCTCTCCAGCCGGGAATCTCAAGGCTCATGTCTCAGGTCGGCATACGGTTGCCCAGGCTTGGAAAGATCTCGTCCGCCTTAAAAAGTGAATACCTGTCAACGAAGTATTCCTCCATGGAAGAGGTAAAATTCGCTCATATATGTGAAAAGAAAGCTGTATTCACCGAAAAGAGGGCGGACTCCTTGTGGAGGTTGGGTTATAGTGTTGATCCACAACGAGTATCGTGGTGTTCAAGCTGGCTGTATTTGGAAATCGGTAGCCTGAACTTAGGTTGTCCGCGCAGCCTTCAATAAAGACATGACATTGCTGGGAAGGTGTACACACCGTGGGCAGTGTTGATTAGCTACTGGTCACACACACACGGCTATTCGACCTTTCCAGACGGGCAACCACCAGCAGTGTCTTCATTGACCACGATCTTACCCATTATCTAGTGAGTCTTGAGCAACTTTGGAAAGTCCTGAGAGTCCCTATCAAATGACTCGGTCAGGGCATTGATTTCATTGTGCGACAAAGACTTTGTCCTGTCCACCTCGTCGACCGGGGGGCTCACCGTGGCGTCCAATCATGGACCACTCTTGAACACCTGAGCTGAAGGCTTTGCCTATTTTTCAGGCAGTCGTATAATTACCAGGCCACCTCTAATACAGACAGGGCAGAAAGGCATGATCGCCCTGAATTGAAAGAACAAATGAACTTACTCAACGCGTCAATTCCATTTGGAAAACTAGCATCTCTGACTGATCCTCGGTTCCAGGGCGCGCTTGATCGTTGGCTATCGGCTGACGGCGCCTATTCCCATCCTGTACGATCCGATTGTTTTTCGAATGGAATTGAACACCCCAAAATGTTTTTGAACGGAAAAATATAAAGCAAGCCGTTAGGATGGTCTCCTACAGACTACACACTCATGTTGAAGCACCGGAAGCAGTTCACTTGCCTTTACTATTCCACCAATTGACTCGGCGTAACCCATCATTTCAATGCAGTTTAGAGACAGAATTTTATTATGGAACAGCCGTTCGACCTCGTACAGATGCTGGGGGTCTCCACGGCACAGAGACAGCTGCTCTCCGCCCTGAATGCCTCGCCGTTATCCAGCATAGGTCTTCGCGGCCATTCCGATGTGTGTATTCAATTGGTTCACAGCCTCTCTCCGATCGATACCGGCATACAAAAGTTTTGGAGAAAGCAATGTCCTCTCGGTTTCGGTAATGCTCCGAAAATTGGTGCGAGTATAAATGCTGGTCTCGACGATGTTGTCAAAGCCGTCAAAGCCACTGACGGAAGAGATGGCTCGTGGTCGATTTTAGAGGTTGGCTGGTTCACAGAGAAATTTGGGGAGTTCTTATTAGCTGGCTACAGCCAACAAGAAATCGGCATCAATCCTTCAAGCAAACCGAAGCCTGACTTCCAAACTGAGCAGGGCAGTCTTAACAGACCAGGACCAATCCAGCACTCAGAAAACAGCAGCCCTTCCCCCAACGGTCAGCTTACAGAGGATATTGAGAATGATGCCATAGACAGACACGGCTTTACTGATACCCATGAGAGTCTGACTGTCATTGCTCAATGTACTCATGTTTCCTATAGTCTACCACACGAAACAGACAATAAGGAAGAGATACCGCTAGCTCTATGTGAAACCTCTTTGCTGTCAAGCGCACATGACGAGTATTATATAACTACTCTAGACATGCAGGAGACTTCTCCAGTTATGAACATTGCTGGACAAGTTGATTACCCATCCTCAGGCGTGCAAGGAGAACATAGTCATCCGTCATCAGAATGCGCTGAGCTTGGAGAAGACACTCCACTATCTAAAACTTCAGATTTATACCTTGTCGAGCAGGATGCAGGCCATGGCGAGGACTCTGCTTGCACCTCTCCATTGGAAGAAGAGCACGATCGATATTGGGAATGGGATGCTCGAGCCCAGAGGTTTCGACACTGGGATGACACAAGAAGCAGTTTTATTTACTGTCCTGAGAGTTTCGCTTGATCAACTAGCCTCATACATTAGACCGTTTTGAATTTACATTCTATCGCTGGCTGTCGAAATATGACTGAGGAGTAGACAGTTTCTTTGCTGCGTGAGGCAGCTTGAGCGGGGTGTAATTGACCACTGCGTTCATCCAACCAGATTCTCTCACAGTTCCGCATTTGAGTTGTGTAAGAGGGGAAATCGCCGATGATAGCTTATCTGAAAGGTGATGACAGAATGAAACCAACCGACTTACCTCTCCTCACAAATCTCGCAAGTCTCCAACATGTGCAATGGTGAATCATAGTATATTCGTGACTTTGATTTACTGACAAGTTCAAAAACTAAAGCGACACCTACTGTGCCATATCCAATTGATTCTACTCAGTTTATTCAACATGACGGTCATTGACGACAGGCCATTCTTATCAGTGGTCTTCGCTCTATCGATATTTTCCCTGATATATCGCTTCATTGTCTATCCAGTCTTCTTTTCACAGCTCTCCAGAGTACCTAATGCTCACTGGTCGGCGCCTTTCACACCATTATGGATTCTACATGTCCGATATTCACGTCGAGAGAACGCAACCCTACATGCTGCTCATAAGAAACTCGGCCCTGTCGTGCGTATTGGACCAAATGAGTTGAGCATCGACACAATAGAAAACGTCAGAACGGTGTATCAGGGAGGCTTCGAGAAGAGCCCCTTCTACTCGATCTTCGACAACTACGGGTAAGCGTCCCTCAAATGATATAGGCGTTTCTGACAGGCATCTTTTAGCGTTCCATGCATGTTCTCAACTCTGACTTCGAAGGAGCACTCACTCAGGAAGCGGATGATCACCAACATATATTCCAAATCATACATCCAATCCTCTGCTTCTGCTGAAGCACAATCCAAGGTGATCCTCTTCGACCGATTTCTTCCGATCCTGTCACAATCTACAACAGGGCCCGAAGCTTCCAGTGGCCTCGATGTCTTCTCATTCTATCTAGCCTCAACCATGGATTTCATCTCAGCCTACATATTCGGCATCGCCAGCAGCTCCAACTTCCTACAGGACAAAGCTGTCCGCGACCACGTTCTTGCATTATACAGATGTCGAGGCGAGAACACCTTCTTCCGACAGGAGCTCCCCGGACTCAATGCCTTCTGCAAGAGGTTGGGCATACATCTATGTCCCAAGCGGGCGGACCAGGCCAACAGGAAGCTAGAGGCTTGGAACAAAAGCCACTGCGACAAGGCAATCAGGCACCTCGAGAGCACGAAGAGCGACCTGACTGGCACAGCCGACGAGCCCATCGTGCTGAAAGCCGTGCTAGCCGGTATAGAGAAGGAGGCGAAGAGCCACGGCAAGCAGTCGCTGCTATACCCCACAGCGCTGCTGCACCGGGACATCTCGGTCGCATCCGAGGTGTTTGACCACATCCTCGCAGGGCAGGAGACCGCCGGGCTGGCAATGACGTATCTCACCTGGCACATGTCGCAGGACCAAGCTCTGCAGGGGCGCCTGCGCGAAGAGCTGCTCTCTATCGAGCCAAACCTCAAGCTCAGCGACGATGGTGTACAGTCGCTACCAGACCCGAAAGAGCTCGATGCCCTGCGGCTGCTCCATGCGATCATGATGGAGACACTCCGCCTCAATGCTCCCATAGGCGGGCCGGAGCCGCGCCGGACACCGTACCCGCAGTGCCAGATCGGGCCGTACACAGTTCCTGGGGGCGCCAGGATCGCGGCGCTCGCTCATACTCTACATCGGGACGAATACGTGTTTCCAGATTCCGAGAAGTGGGACCCGAACAGATGGCTCTCATCAGAAGCCGACGAGGAGGAGCGGAAGCTGCGAAATAGGCAGTTCTGGGCGTTTGGCTCGGGAGGGAGGATGTGCATTGGGAGCAATTTTGCTGTGAAGGGTGAGGACGCAATTCTTCGTCTTGTTTGACCTCTGGCTGAATTAGATGTCTCGACTACAGAAATGAAACTTATGACGGCTGCCATCTATTCCAACTTCACGAGTCACATTGTCGATGATACCGGTATTGAGCAGGGAGATGGGTACACGGGCCGCCCGACGAGTGAGAGGCTGTACCTTCGCTTTGAAAAGGCGTAAGGATGAGATGTGATGAGTGAATCAGTGAATGATTTGATCAACGATCCAAGGTACTTCATAATGGCTCCATGAATTGGGTAGTTGTTGGCGGGGCAAGGTGAGGAGCTAGCAGAGAGTCACGGAAAAGAGGGAATAACTCGGAGAACATGCGACAACCACATCTAGAAATGCACGTTTAATAATCATGAATTCAGAAACGTGCTTGAGTCATCGTTCTGTATATCTTGAAATATACTGCGTATTTAACTCGAGATTGTTCTTGAACTGCTGTCCTGAATCGGGAGAAGTCGTGTACAGGAGGAGTGGATTCACAGTGGCAGGGGTTAAAAGTAGGCTCCCGCGACAAAACGCGGTGGTGCGAGAGTCTCCCGCCCGCGCGCGCGTTGAATGGGCCATTCAAGTGCGGGGTGATAAGAGATAACGTTAAGACGTGGACCACTAAACTCCATTGGAATAGTGTAGAGGCCCACGCAAACACACAAACACACAAACATTGGAAGCCGCCCCGTGATCAGCACACAGCATCACCATTCGCCGGATTGGGACTGGGCTGTTGTGTCTAAGTGCTTGCATGTTGCATGGAGTGGTCCGTCGTTTCGTGTTTTTCAGTCATCCAGTTACCGTTGACTACTGCGTTGCCCAGTGTTTACAGCTCGATTGGTACCTGGCCGCTGTCGAGGCCCGCTAACAGGGCCCTCCCTTGCATGACGGCAGCACTGATTGGGCGGCCCGGCTCTCGTACACCAGGTCCACAGCCCACACGGGAGCTTCCCAGCCACTTGAATTCAACCTCCCCCCGTCTCGAGTGTTGCCGTTTTCCCTGCCATTAAAGGCGATGGCTGTCCTGATGTGGTGGTGGTGGTGGTTGTGCTGGAGAGGGACTTTCACTTGTCATGCAATGATCCTGCCAGACAACTCTGCTGCAGAACTCGGACATCGAAACATCAGACTGCGCTGCGCTTCTATTGCTGACTATCCATTGCCTGGCTAAACGCTCGCTTGCTTCCCAGTTCTGTCTGCCTGCCTGAAGAGAAAGCAGAAAGGAGACTGACTGACTGACTGACTGCTTTGCAACTCGGTTTGCTGCGTAGCTGAGTGACAGGCACTTTTATATGAGTCGTCTGGCCGAGCGCATTGCGACCCGAAGTACCCTTCGCCTCTGACCAGCTTCACTTCACTTGGCTCTCTCGCTGCGCAAACCGCAGTCTTGCTATTGCCAGCACCCCAGCCCGCTCGGCACCACGGGCTCCATGCAGTCATTTCTGACAGTCAACAACAACGTGAGCCTGCTGAGTGTCACCATTGCTCCGAGCACCTGGATCGCCTCCTTGACCTTATCGCTGGCCTTCCTCTACCTCTACCTGCCTCCTCTGCGCTATCCCGCGGGGCCAGCTACCAACCCAGCTCCTGAGAACAACTACCAGCGCTACTTTGACTACTTGAACTATTTCAACCGCAACAGAAACCCGGACCTCATCGAGCTCGACGATCACCCGCCCTTCATCGAAGGTCTCCCAGCGGCCATTGGAGCGAATGACCGTCGTCTCGTCCTGCGCAACAACAGCAAGAACAATCATGCCCTTCGACCCGCTCGACCACCTCGACGCCTCTCTGCAGGACTTCGAGGCGCGCTCGCCGCCGCCCTTCGGTTACCGCTCCGTGTCGACGGCGTTCCGGAGCTCAGACACCGAGAGCGACATGCACGACTCGGTCGCCTCCGCAGGTGGCTACAGCCCGCCGGCGTGGCGCCGCCTCGGAAACGGGGACCGGTCTAGTGGCTTCTGGCGCAAGGGCGGCGCCGACCACTTCGGCTACGGCTACGGAGGCCTGCCCCCGCAGACCAGGGAGTCGAGTCCCGAGTACGAGAGCGCCGACGAGGGCGACGCCATCCTCGAGGCGGCGATGCGCACGAGGTTGCCGACGGGCAGCATGAGTCCGGAGAAGGAGAGGAGTCCAGAGCCTGACTATCTGGATGAGAAGACGGCGAGGATCAAGAGTGAAGACTTGCCCACTATAGACGAAATGAAGGCCACCTTGGCCGCATTACCACCAAAAGATGCTTCAGAAAATTGTAAGCTCCAATTAACTATTACTTGACAGTCTAAATGGACGAAATACTCACCCCTATTAGACATTCGCTTCGCAGTCCGTGCAGAGGTCCAACAACGGACAGAGCCCATCGAGGCAGCCATCAACTTCGTCCGCTCCAAGGTTCACGTCGTGACCAAGTCCTGGAGTTCCATGATATTATCTGCCATTGTGGCCTTCATGTCTGTGGCCGCTATGCGGTCACTCTTCCAGCCAGCCGGCCCGCGACCTGTGCCAGACCTTGTGAAGGTCGCCGGCATTGCGCGATCATTTGAGCCCCTGATTTACTACTCAGAAAACGGCGTGGCCCAAGTCGGCGACTTGCAAGCGACTGGTGTCGCTGTATGGGATCTCGGCGAGAGCGTGCGATCAAGTAACATGACGAGCGCACCGATTATCGTCAAGGAGCTGGACGAGTTGAGTGACAGCCTAAAGACGCTGGCGATTGAGCTTACGAAATTCTTTGCGAACGTGGATGGCGATATCGACGGGTATGTCTCCTATCCAGTTTGGATTTAGCTTCGAAAGGCTACCTTCCCCCTTTTCATGTGGGTTTATGACTAACTGATCCGGTGTCTAGTATATTAATTGTTATGGACTGGGCACGTAGGGAGCTCGCTCAGGTCCAACATCTCTCCTCTCCACCACTTACATCTGCCTTTGACAACATCCACAATATCCTCAGCACAGCCGGCATCCTAGAAACACCTACCGGCACCCCAACACGATTTGGCGCGTTGGCCACATCCATCTTCGGCATGTCCAACCCCCAGCGGACGCGCCTCACCCTACAACGAACCTTCAACGAGTTCCTCGCCGTCCTCGAGGAGGCTATCGCCTCGGAGCTCCAGCATTCGCTCGCGCTCTTCGGGCTGTTTGAAGCGATCGACCACCAGTTCCTCAACCTCGCACGGACGGTGGTGCGCGAGTCCAGCCTGCAGGACGAGCTGCACGCCGACCTGCTCTCGTCGCTGTGGACGCGCATCCTGGGCGCCAAGGCGTCCGAGGTGCAGAAGTACGAGCGCAACCGGCTCCTGCTGCAAAACGTGCGCGAGAAGACGGTCCGCAACAAGGGCATCCTCGTCGAGCACAACCACCGCCTGCTGGCGCTCAAGTCGAGCCTCGAGAACCTGCGCCGCAAGCTCGTCTCGCCCCTCGTCCGCAGCGTCAACAGCTCCACCCTCACCGTCGACGAGCAGATCCGCGGCCTCGAGGACGTCGGCGTCTACCTCGAGGGCGTGCGCACCCGCCAGAAGGGCAAGCTCATGGAGATGCTGTACGGCAGCGCCGGCGTGCGCGACCACCAGCAGAGATACATTGACGACGCGAGGTGATGCGGAGCCTGTCGTCCCAGTTCACACAAGAAGTCATGAAACTAGAACCACCCGCTTGTAATGTATCAGCTGGATTTTGGAGCAAAGGGGAGTTAGCAAGACCCTCGATCGGCTCGCGGCGGGCCCTCCAGCCAATTCCGTACTATAAGAGTGCGGGAGTTCAGGCGGCTATTGAAATAATTCGCAGCTAGGAGATTTATGAAACGCATCGTCACAAAGACACGGAGCATGGACCAGGCGTCAGAACGGTAAGTCGGCAGACATGTCTGCTTTGCTTGTAATAGATAGGAAAGGATTAGGCGCCACTTGGAATAATGAAACACTTCACATCATTTCACACACGCATCTTGCATCTTAATTGAACTTTTGTCTATTATCACTATCCCTATTTCGCAAAATAAGGGGTGTCTGTCTCCTTCCTTGCTCACCATAACGGATGTGCTAGGCCTTCAACCTAAGTGAGGGGGTATTGGTTCAGCCAGTGTCGGTGGCCAGGCAAGACAAACCGGAACCAGAACGCCAATGGGTAAAACAGAGTCGGATGGGGTTGGATACGAGAAAACAACCACCCATTGACCATATTCCGACAAAAAAACAAGTCTATCCATACATGATTAAGGTTTGTTGCCAGAACCAAGTCATGCAATAGCAAAGTCTCCTCATGTAAGCTGCTCGTTGCAGTCCATAAGGGATAAAACCATCAAGCAAGATTAAGTAATAGTCGAAATGGGAGGATACCGCCGCCAATTTTCTGAACCGCTATGTGAACTTTTCCGAAGTCCGTTGTGAGATCAATTCAGCATGTCGACAGTCCGGTGGTGGTCAAAGACGCGTATATCAAAGGCCGAGGGAGTCATAACAAAGGAAATTATGTGGCATCAATCGGCATGGTTGAGGAGCAACCTAGCCGGCGGAGCGAGCCCTCTAAGCCTTCTCCTCAGCCTTCTCGTCCTTCTTGTCGTCTTCGTCACCACCCTGCTGCTTGACGTATTCATCATAGACAGCCATGGCTTCATCAACCTTGTTGCGCAGGGCAGTATCATCCTCAATACTAGCAGCTTTGTTAGTATTCATGTCAGTCTCTTGAGAGTGCGGTCATGAACTTACAGGTTGATGAGCTCCTGGTTCTCCATCTCTAGCAACATGCCCGTGATCTTGCCGGCCAACTCTGGCTGCATGGCCTGAATCTTGGGGAAGATGGCCTCTCCAAGCATCTGCTTCTGCTGGGGCGGCGCGGCAGCAGCCAGCTGTGACTGAAGAAGGCTGGCGGCATTCAGATCAGGACCACCTGGTGCCTGACCCTGAGCACCACGTCCTCCCTGTGGGCCAGTAGGGAACTGAGGACCACGTCCACCAGCGTTGCCACGGCCTCCACCCACGCCGCCCTGTTGACGGTTGTTCGGGGGGTAGCCTGGCATGGCAGGACCTTGCATGCCGGGGATTCCGGCCATGCCCTGCATGGGGCCACGGCCCGGCTGAACGCCTCGTCCACCAGCAAGGGCTGCGGCCTGTTGCTGGACTTGCTGCATCGCAGCAATAAACTGGGGGTTGTTCGGCTGAGCGTAGGGAGCGCCTGGCGGGAACTGGCCGGGGATGCCGTACATGTTAGGAGGCATCTGCTGGGGAGCCATGCCACGGCCACCCTGCTGACCAGCGTAACCAGCGGGGAACTGGCCGGGACGTCCACCCTGAACGCCTGGCATACCCATGGCAGGCTGTGGGAAGCCCATGTTGCCACGTCCACCACCAGGGGGCATGAAGCCAGGCTGCTGACCAGGAGCATAGAAGACCGGAGGCTGGATGTACTGCTGAGGCATGCCCGCGGCTGCGGCAGCCTGCTGCATTCGTAGTTGATTGCGGGCCTGGATGCTTGCCTCCAGCTGGCTCTTGCGAACATCCTTGCGCTGAGCGAGAGCGACGTACAGAGGCTTGCCGTTGATCATGCGCTGGTTCATCTCGGCAACAGCCTTGGTGGCATCGTCAGGGTTGCTGAAGCAAACAAAGCCGAAACCCTTGCTCTTGCCGAGCTTCCTGTCTCCAGACTTCTTCTCGGATTTCTTATCGGCGGACTCCTCGTCCTCCTTGGGCTCCTCGGGCTCCTTTTGGTTCTCCTTGTCCTTCTCATCCTTATCTTCCTTCTCCTCGTCGTCGTCCTCGGACAGCTGGTCCCTCATGACCTTAGCAGAAGTGATAGGTCCAAATTCAGAAAACATCTGGCGCAGCTTATCGTCGTCAACATCGTCGTCCAAATTCTTGATGTACAGGTTGACACCCTGATACTTGTTTGCCTTCTCGAGACGAGCAGCCTCGTAAGACTTGCGAAGCTCTTCCTCGCGCTCGTGCTTCTTCTGAGCACGACCGACGTAGAGGTCCTGGCCATGGAAGTCCTTTCCATTGAGGTCATCAACAGCCTTCGCAGCAGCCTCGTGAGTGGTAAAGTTGACGAAGCCAAAACCACGGCTTTTGCCAGTCTCCTGATCCCGAGCCAGAGACGAGGATGTGACATCACCGAACTTCTCGAAGAGCTCACGGAACTCATCATCGGTCACCTCTGCACTGATGTTCTTGACGTAGATGTTGGTGAAGTTCGCCTTCATCTCCTCAAACTTGCTCTGGCGGTCCTTCTTGGGGATGTGATGACCGACGTAGACCTTCTTCTCGTTCAGCAACATGCCGTTCACGTGCTTGATGGCCTGCGCGGCAGCCTCATCAGTCTCGTAGTGAACGAATCCGTAGCCCTTGGAGTTTCCGTTCTCGTCCTGAGCAACCTTGCAGCTCAGAATGTTGCCGAAGGCGGCAAAGGTGTCGTGCAGAGCCTTGTTGTCGATGGCAACATCAAGGTTCTTGATGAAGACATTGCCCTGACCAGTCTTGCGCAGGGCGGGATCACGCTGAGACCACATGATGCGGCAAGGGCGACCCTTGATGAGAGTATAGTTCAGCTCCTCGAGGGCCTTCTCGCCATCAGCAGTGGCATTGTAGTTGACGTAGGCATAGCCGAGGGAGCGTCGAGTGACAGCATCGCGGCAGACACGGATCGAGGCAACGGAGCCGATCTGAGAGAAGAGCTCGAAGAGCATGGCTTCGGTGACGGAGGGATCGAGCTCGCCGACGTAGAGCGAGGCAGAAGCCTGGGGGTGGGGGGCAGCAGAGCTGGGGGTGGGGCCAGCAGTATCGATATCATCGCCCTGGAAATCACCAGCGACGTTGGTGTTGATGGCAGGAGCCTTGTTGTCACCGTTCAGGTTGGTGTTGCCGAGGTCAGAGGCGAGCTGGTCAACAGCGCCGGAGGTCACAGAAGCAGCCATTTTGTGAGATTCGTTCGACGATGTCAACACTAGCGATAGAATAACGCGTCAGCGGAAATGAGAACCTTGGAAGTTTTTTTTTTGTTTTGTTCGCGAGTGCCGGTAGTTTGAATCTGTTGTGATTGTGTGCTGAACGCGAACAGATACACGTAGAACGTACCAAGTAAGATGGGAGTCGTGTGACGAATGATTGAAGATGACTATCGGGGGGTCAAAAGGCCAGACGATAGACAAAGCGAACTGTCGAGTTCAAAGAAGCCTCTGAGATGGGTCTGTCGGACAAGGACTTGGCAATAGCGGTGTGGCGGTCAAAGGCGAGAAGACAAACGCGATCCGTGTCTTCAACAGGGTAGGGATTTTTTGGTTGAGGGTTGATTTGGGGGTTTTTTATGTGGATTTTCAATTTTTTTTGGGTTTAGATGGGAGAAAGGGAGCGAGAACAGAACTCAAGTACGAACGGGTTCGTACTAAATCTGAATCTCAGTGGAGGTTTGGGAGGATTCTTGAGGATAAAGGGTTCCTGAAAGTGTTTGAGGAAGAAAGGAAGAGAGGAGGAGAAGCAGATCAACGGCGGCACTTTTGGCGTGGAGACGAATTTTTTTTCTGTCGTGTCTGGCTCCTTCCCGAATATCCTTGCAGGGGTGGTTATGTAAGTAACCGGCAGCCAGCTGTTTGCACCTCCAGCACAAGGTAATATCCAGTAATAAGGCAAGGCGCAGATTCCTCCGCAAAATAAAAGGCTTTCAGCCAGAGCTGCATTACAAAAAAAGTAAAACTGAAAAACTGATAAAAGGCAAGGCAAGGCAAGGACAAGGCATATAGCCGCAAGTACATATTCACCAGATAGTCCCTCGAGTGCACCCTGTAAGGCGACAATTTCACACAAATGTGAGGCTGCCTGTCTCACCTCATGGTTTATCGCCTAGATGACTAAGACAAGCAAACGCACGTTTTTACCATCTTTCTCAACATGAGGACGATGCAGCTCTACAAGACCAAGAAAACTATGTTTGAATGTTCCTCACATTCATGGCATGATTAAGTGGCTTAACAGGAGCATTGTCGTTAGCAGTTACAAAAGGGCAAAGCATCCCACTGTGGCTAAATGAGCTCAAACTCCAGGGTTAGATGGCCAGCCTCATTAGGGCATGCATAAGGTGCCAGCTTGCTTCCCCTTAGCCAGCAATATTCAACTATCGAACAGGCTCTCTCGTCCGTAGTAAGTGAGTGGGTTGTGGCTGCCGTGTTGGTGCACTGCAGAGAGATGGCTAGTGCCTGCTTGCTGGGTCCACGCCCCAGGTGGTGGGCGGTTGTGCATGCATGTGAGAAGGAAAGTGGAGGTGTCAAAAACTCGCAATGCAGGTGGATGCGACAAACGGAGGTAGGCTACCTAGGAGGTTATCAGAAGCAACTTAGCTTATCGTCTTATCGTGATGCACGGACCACCTGCACCTATCTAGGTAGGGAGAAGAGGTCCGTCTTGCCTCCTACAACTCGCTACAAGCTCAGCGGCCGGATGGGAGGTGATGATACGAAACAAGTCTCTATGCGCTGATATGATGTTACGGTTTTGCCTATACTCTCCATCAGACTTTAACTGTCGTTCCGTTGTCACAGGGAGATATCATCCTCTGGCAGCTGTCCTCTTACTGGGGCAGCTTAGACTGACGCTAGTGGCCGAGCTCAGCAACGGCATTTGGTGGCCACCACTGTCTGACTAACTGCTGCTGGTGAACTTTCCAGAAGCCTACCTTACCTGAGCATCCAAGCTGTCTCTCGCCCGCCAGCAAACACTCTCAGCTACGGTTCCAGTTCGCGGGAAATGTTTCCCTCCATGCCATTCCGACAAACTCTCTCTTGACCACACCGTACAGCGTGCATCTGGGCTCTTTCAATCTCTTGCGACAGTCGCCACCGATTGCGGCATCTGTGGTATTACCATAGGGTACTACAACCTCTTTGAGCAGTGACTTGGAGCGATCGCTTCTCCAAGTTCAGCTGAAGCAACCCCACCAAACATGTTCCCGACGTTCTCGGGGAGCTCGCGACGCCCGAGAAATGTGAACCTGAGCGGCCAGAAGAATACAAATCCCTTCGCCGCAACCTCATGGACCCCCTCCGCCTCGTCCAATGCCTCCAAGACCGTCATCGCCGATGCCCAAGCCGAGCGCCGCAAGCGAGAGCTGGAAAGGGAGAGGCTGAAGGCGGCCCAGAACATCCAGCGCACATGGCGGGGTCATCAAACAAGGCAGAGCTTGAAGGACTCGAGACGGGCGGCGTTTGATCAGTTATACCAAGACGGCTCGACACAAGATCGCTTTCAGAGGTCTCTACAAGCGTTGCCCCTCGCTCTCGCCATTTTCGACCCTAGTCGCCCAGATGACTGCCGTCGCTTTGGAGCGTTTGCCGAGGATCTGGTGCAAACCGACTTCCAGCTTCTCCAGCCAGGACAGCTGGATGATGCTCAATTACGGAGGCTTGGGAATCAGTTGGTGGTCGCTTTGCAACGGTATGTTTGCTTCGACTGTAGCGGGTTTCCAACACCTTGGGACTACCAACTAACCATCTCACGTAGGATCGGCTCCGACGATCTGCCCCAAAGCTTTCTTACTACTCTACTCGAAATCATTACTACGAGAGTCGATGCCGTACGAGACAGCTTAGACTCATATTATGAGACGATAGCCAAATACTGTCAAAGTGCTGGTACAAGAGAAGACAAAAACCTATGGTTGTTACAGCGAGCGATACTAGCACCACTGCAGACCGGGTCGGAACCAAGAGCTTTTGAAGCGTTTGCATTTTCCTTTCTTACACATCATGCATTGGCGTTCTTTGAAGAGCATATCACCGTGTTTGCCGGACATGTAGACACCCGACAACTTTCCACCGCTATTGTAAACGGCTATTCAAGTGGTACCGCTGCCACGAGAACAAAGGACGATCTCTTATGGTTACTGGCCCATTTCATTGCCCTGGAACGCGCAAAGGGAGGCGTTTCGCAGAATTCTCTGTATCTCAATGCGCTATACGCTCAGCTATCAGCGCTTCATGGGGAGTTAAGAGACAGGCCGATTGCTCAGGTGTCGAAAGAGGCAACACTAAAGTCTGCCGATGCGGAAGACCAACTTCCGCCGTTTGTTGCCGAGGCCATCCGCTCTCTTGTGGACAAGGATGAGATCTCAGACCTTCTCGAGAAGTTCACAACGTACGTGATCTGCCTTGTCTGCTTATCTATTACGTCGTAGCTAACATGGTGCAGAAATTATGCCATATCCTCTTCACAAGCCGACGAAGCCAGCCTTCTGGCAGCATACATACTCACATTAATTCGATGTTTCCCGATTCTCGGGGATGACATGCGCTTGCGGCTGTTCATGGCCGATATTCCATCTTCGACAGGCAAAATTCCCTCTGTCAAGTTCTTCTGGAACGCAATGAGCAGGACGGCTTTGTTCTCACGCATTTTATCAGATGACAGAGCAACACTTAACGTGCTCAGACGCAGAGACTCACGGACTGCCGCAGTTGCCAAAGACGAGGCGTTGTGGGATCGTGAATGGAGGACGATCCTCTTATTCCTCGAACTCTACGTATTCGTTCTCAGACTTACCGATGACGAGGACTTCTTCGCGGGTTTTTCTGCTGTTCAGTATGACAACTCACCATCTCGTTTACGGTCATGTTGCCTCTCTCTGAAAGAACTCAAGGACTTGACTATCTTTTTGAGGAATTTGGCATTTACACTATACTACAATGGCAATGACCTGCTTCGAGAGCACTCTTCGTTCAATCACTCCTCGGCAACTATCGATCAACTTTTTAGCTCTTCAGCAAAGGGAGAGATATCAAGGGTCACAGACTTGTCAACAGGACCGAGGCCTGCAACCTTTGACATTGTCTCCGGATTCGATTTCAGCTCTTTCAGAAATATGGTCAGCACAGCGGTGCATATGCTTTATGAGCGAGACTCTCGACGACAATTCTTGCCAAAGGATCACTGGCTGATGACCTCTCGATTTGACATGGAGGGGTTTTTGTCGGCAGTCGTTCTAGAGGAGCAGAGACAACATGAAATCGCTGAAGTAGAGAGCGATGAGGAAGGGGATGATGATATAGAGATGGAAGATGCCGGACGCGATTTTCTCACCGTTGATGGACAGCGCCGCTCGCTGTATGCTAAGATGGAAAAGTTCAGAGAACGACAGAGAAAAGCGCAGCGGGAGAGAATGTTGGCTGCAATCGGTCCAAAATTAGAGATACTGCGCAATATGCCCTTTGTTATACCGTTCGACACGAGAGTCAAAATTTTCCGGCAGTTCGTCTATCTTGACAAAGATAGGAGGAGGGGAGGCAATATCGACCCTGATAACTGGCGGATGGCCATCTTGAACGAGCATGGTGGCCCGTTCAACCCAACAGCAAGAGGAAGAGACGCCATTGGGCGCCATCATGCCAAAATTCGACGAGGAAAGGTTTTCCAAGATGCTTTCGAGCAGTTTTACGATCTAAGGGAGGGCTTGAAAGAGCCGATCCAGATCACCTTTGTTGACCAGTTTGACACTCCAGAAGCAGGCATCGACGGTGGTGGTGTCACCAAGGAATTCCTGACCAGCGTGACGAAGGAGGCTTTCACTGATGAGCTGAGTCTCTTTGTAGCCAACAGCCGGAATGCGCTGTACCCCAATCCTGCCGCTCTGGACCAGAGACAGGACAAATTACGGCAAGCCGGTCTCACCCAAGAGTCGCCAGAATGGCGTGAAAGCATCACAGAGCTGCTCGACCAATACGAATTTCTCGGGCGTATCATAGGCAAGTGCATGTATGAAGGCATCTTGATCGACGTGGTCTTCGCCGGCTTTTTCTTGCTCAAATGGTCGGCGGCAGCTTCAGATTCGGGGTATCGGGCGAACATCAATGATCTTAAAGAGCTGGATGAAGAGCTCTACCAAGGCATGCTAAGTCTGAAGAACTACCCAGGCGACATCAGCGACATGGGCGCAGATTTCACGATCGAGGATCAGATTTCGATGCCTGGCGAGCCGGTCCGCACCGTTACTCGCAATCTCATTCCAAACGGCGACCAGGTCTCCGTCACGAACGAAAATCGGCCCCTGTACATTTCATACATGGCGCACCACCGCCTCGTCGCTCAGCCATTTGCAGTGACGAGAGCCTTCCTCAAGGGATTAGGCTCAATCATCACTCCATCTTGGCTCAGCATGTTCAACCAGTCAGAGCTCCAGCGCCTGGTTGGCGGCGACTCATCTGAGATTGATGTCGAAGATCTCCGCCGTAACACTGTCTACAGCGGCCTCTACGTGATTGGAGATGATGGCGAGGAGCATCCGACCGTCAGTATGTTCTGGGACGTCATGCATTCGCTGAAGGATGAGGAGCGCAGGGAAGTGCTTAAGTACGTGACCTCGACGCCACGCGCACCGCTCCTGGGATTTGGGCAGTTGAGCCCGAGATTTAGCATTCGGGACGGCGGTGATGATCAGGACCGCCTGCCCAGCGCTAGCACGTGCGTCAACTTGCTAAAGCTGCCGAAATATAAGTCATTGTCGCAGCTGAAGAGCAAATTACTGTACGCTGTGAAGTCCAACGCAGGATTTGATTTGAGCTAGACAAAGGCACTTGATAGGCGTTGAATCATGACATAGCATTGAATAGATCGGTAGCGTATGACAATGAACGGAACATCTTGAAAATTGCTGTATGGTACAAGGTCTGATCATGACCCATTCATCGACATAAATCAGAAGCGATGTGCTACTATCCGGTGAGGCTAAAATTGCAGTGAAAGCCCAAAACAGCAAAATTAACAGCAAAGTTAACAGCAAACCCTCTCCGGTAAGTCTAATTTGCGGTGAAATGCCATCTTCGCCTCTCTTCTGTAGAAATACCTATGGGAATACTTTATCCAGGCCATCAAAAGCCTGTGGCTAGTATATGAGGCTTACTTTCTCTCAAATCTAGGAGCATTTGGCCGAATAGACCGTTCGCCCAAGAGAACCTAATAGACCACTTAGCATGGCAGAGTCTCTTAGGGGGGCAGATGATATGCTAGACCTACCATCCTCTCGTCCAGATTTTCGGATTGTACACATTGACTGATTCGTGCATGAGGCCTAGTTTATCCGTAGATGACAGCAGTTGTCTCAGGAGGTCGGCTATCTCCTTGTCATCGTCGGATGTCATAATGTAGACGATAAGCGACATCGGCCACGCCATTCCTGGCCCGATGTGAGGACCGCCGGTTCTGGGTGACTGTGAGCAGCTTTTCATATCAAGCAGAAGAGGATATATGACATTAACTTACCCGTTTATGACGGAACCATGCATGTAGTAAGGATTCTCTTTGCTAAAGATTAATTTCCGAGTTGCTAGATAGATGGGATCGGTTGCAGGTAGATAGCCCATTAGGGGAGCACTCAAGAGACTTGGGAGGTTTGCATCATCCTGGCATTGCTCATTGTCAGTCCCAAACACCACTCATCGAATTGACCTAACTCGGCGTTGAGTGGAGGACAAGAATCACTCACCATCAAATTGCTTGATCCAAAGCCATCAACTTCATACGCATACATCTCACCGAACTCGGGATGTTTCACGCGTCCATACTTCTCAATCCCTCTCCTGATGTTACCTGCAAAAGTGGTCATCTTCCTCGCCAGATGGCTATCCATAGGCTCCATGATCTCCGCACAACTAGCCAGATAACGGGCCAACATCATATTCGCAGGGACAAACAACTGGTAAGTGCAGGAATCGTCGCTCGGGCGGAACGCGCTCCTCACCATCCCCGTCTTCCCCTTGACGGGGCTACCGAGACCGTTGTTGGCAAGCGTCTCTGTTGCTACAGATGTGTGCCTCGTGAATTGGTACGGAGCATCGTTGACCATACCATCGTCTGCGTACGTGCCACCCGTCAACTCGTCGACCACCTCCATCAGCCTTTCCACGGCCGCCTTCCAGCCGAACCTGGCGAAGAACTCGGCGTCGTGCGTGCGTGAGTAATAGTCGTAGCTCAGCTGTAGGAAGGCTGCCAGGCTGTCGAGTTCATATTTACACTCGAACACGATTGATGGGTCATACGGTGGCATCACGGAATCCCCCGACGAAAAGCGGTTGAAGATATGCAATCCCGCCTCTTTAGGTGCCTGAAATGCGTTGCAGTGCGGCGACGCCGAGATATATCGTGCTTGCAAATTGATGGCACCTCGAAATAGCGAGGCCAGAGAACCACTGCTGCTGTTAGGACGTAGAATAGAGACGTAGCTTTGAAGCTGGTTGGCACTGTCACGCAGCCACATTGCCTCGATGTCTCCTGTTGTGATGAAGGTCAACTAGGACCATAATTAGCAGCTTCACACCAAAAATTTACTAGCATATCATACTTCCTGTTCAGAGTCTCCTTGGGCAAAGCCGGTCCAGCTTATTGCCGTATCCAGCGTGTTGGGAAAGCAGTTTTCGAAAAGTCGGAATAGATCTGGATCTTTGATTATGGATTTCATCTCCTCGATGGTCTCTTCGACTTCTGAGAGGATAACCTTTCTGCATTCTTGGGTCGGTCGTTGATATGGTAGATCAAAGAAGCCTCCAGTACGAGGATCGTGAGGAGCTGAAGCATATGATCCATACTCAGGACAACTAGATTCCTGTGAAAATCCGCTCGCTGTGTCTGACCCAAATACAGGTTGGGCCTGGAAGGATTGAGCATCTCGATACCTTGCCAAGTAGAAGATGCTGTTGACCACCAACACTAACACCACGCATAGGTGAAACTGCCTCTTTGTGTTCCACATGGATGAACGCAGAATTCGAGCTCACCCTTCCCGGTTTATGGACTGTCCCCATCTGCGATGATGAAAATCCAGGGTCCATGGAGTATTAACAATACATTAAGGGTTCTGCCGGATAATCGGCAGATGCTCTCCCTTTCTACACATGCATGGTAGATAACCGGTGATCAGCCGCGTAGATGGCCAAGAACTTCTCGTCTACAATTGGAAAGCCGTTGCCGAGCTGATAGGATCAGTACCGCTCCAAGAACGAACAAGGTAGATATATGGCAAAGAAATATCAGAGATTCTCCGCTCAAGTGTGTAGATAGCGAGGTACGTAAAGAGTGTATGGCCTTCTAATCGAGAAAAATGTCGTTGCATTCGCATATCCAGCTGAGCATCTTGATAGTGTCCAAATTGCATGCAGGGTCCAAGTCAATCCATCTTATCTACCCGTTTCGGTACTGCCAAAATTTGATTCTTTGGCTCTGCCGGCAGCGACCTTGATCCGGCGTTCAACAATATTGTCGAAACCCTGACTAGATGCCGATTGGCTTATCTTAATGATACGGAATAACTGTCTAGCTGTTGAAGTCGCAATGTTACGGGGTCCCTTGTTCCCTACGGTCTAGGGGGACTGCCTATGGATTGGAGGAAAATATAGCGAGGCATCGGGCAATATTTTAGCTCTTCGGAAGCGCGGCCGAATGCCCCTTAAGCTTAAAGCTTAATTGCTGCATAACTGCAGCTAGCCAGGCACGACAGGACGCCTCTTAAAGCTAGTCTTGTCCTCGATATCATGAACAAAGTCGCCAGTCACGAATTGCGCTATGCTCGACGCAGGTCAGAGGATGCTGATGGAAGATGCGAATCCCACATTTATGAGATGGCTGGTCAATGCTGCACCTCCATCTCCCAGCGACTCCTCGCACACGGCATGATCCTGACCTGCCAAGCAACTAGATTCAGCCGGAAGCCAAGCCCTGCGGGGAACGCCACAGCACAGTGTTCAGGTGGTCGCAGGCCGAATGTCGCGGAGGATTGTTCTCTGCATCCTAATGGGGTCAAGACAAAAGTCCAGGCGTCCAATGACTACCTAGTCGTTACTATTCCGCCCTTTTCGCCAGAAGTTAGGAGGCATGTTGAGCCGGGAATGACCACTGAGACTAGCTAACCCCAGAAGCGGCGCGACGCTCTGGTGGCGTCTAGGGAAGGGATCCAATGGACTCCCGCTCTCAGACAGCCTATTCTCTTGGCAGTAGGCGATCAAAAACAACTGTCCTCTAAATTTCTGTCAATTTTTGCGCCTCTGACATCCTGAAACGGTCTCAAATAGCTTAATTGAAGTCGTTGGCTTCTTCGTCTGTAATGCCTTCTCAACGTTCAACGACTTTCAAATAAACCTTCCTTCATCCCATTATGTCAAACTGAACCTCTGTTTTGTTTCTGGGGTTTGCGGGCCAAGCTCTGCAACGGGACACCCTCGGCTGATGAAAAGTGGATGAACTATGAAATCTATCTCGGGAACATAAGGAAAAGACTGCAACGTACCGCGGAGGTATAAAGGAAAATATCAGACAAATGGCGCCTTTTAAGCTCGCCCGGGGGCTTCCCCGGAGGAGTAGGGTGCTCTTGATTGTCCTTGTCTTTGTCCTGATCATCATGTTCCTCCCGACATCCGGCTCAGGCATCGGACAAACGTTGATGTTTATCCTTTTCGGACCATCGACTAGCAGTGCTTTGAGCAGGCCATCATCAGTGTCTGTGGACGTTCTGAAATACATTGATCCTCTGATAGGAACAGTCAATGGAGGTTTGCAGACACTCGTCCTCACATCTCTCTGCGATAACTAATCTTACATGAGGCCATGTCTTCCCCGGCGCAACGCTGCCGTATGGTAGGCTATAAAATCATTGATACATATTGTGAGCAGATGCTAACAAGCAAAGGCATGGCTAAGCCGGTTGCTGACGTACGCGCCCCTGCTGAAAATGCGGCTGGGTATGTGTCGGACGACAATCCCATCTCTGGATTCTCACATATGCACGATTCTGGTAAGCTGCCTCTCTTGATTGGCACAGTATCTCAGGCTAATATGACATAGGAACCGGTGGAGTGAGTGCTGACGTCCTTCATCATGGTGGTTTGAAAGTTCCTGATATGCTGACGTCTTTTACAGCAACCTTCGATGGGGAATTTCCCGATATTTGTCAACCCAGGATGTCCGAATGATAACTTCGCAGAGTGCCGATACTCCGTCATAGGGAGAGCAGTGAATCGAATTCCAGGCTCTGCGAAAGCCAGTCCTGGATACTTTGCCATATCTCTTAATCATTCTGTTCATGCTGAGATGACAGCAACAGAGCATACTGCTCTCTACCGATTCTCCTTCCCAGGCGACGACAATCCGGTTGATTATGCAGGCAGAAATGTACCTTACAGTCCAGTGATATCAATGGATCTGTCAGATCTCATGTCTAGCCGGGCTGCTGGCACCATTGGAGTGGATCCGGAGACCGGCCGCATCATGGGCAATGGAAGATACAGTCCGTCATTTGGCGCCGGTACCTATCAGGCCTACTTCTGTGCGGATTTTATCGGCGCGAAGATTCGGAAGACTGGGACTTTCACAGGAGATAATGCCATTGAGGATACCGCATACATGGACTCCGCTCAGCCAGGTTCGTGGACGAATCCTTCTGGTTCGACAGGTGCCTGGATCCAATTCGAGGCGCCTGAAAATGACAATATACTGGCAAGGGTTGGCGTTTCATTCATGTCTAAAGAAAGGGCTTGTCAGAATGCCCAGACGGAGATACCCGATTTTTCTTTCAACAAAACTGTAAAAGCTGCAGAGGATGCATGGAGGGATAAGCTCTCAGTTGTCGAGGTTGACTCCACGGGAGTGGACGAAGAATTCCTGACAACCTTTTGGTCTGGGATCTACAGGACGATGCTGAGCCCCCAGAACTACACTGGGGAGAATCCATACTGGAACTCCAGCGAGCCGTATTTTGACTCGTTCGTCCCCCAATTACGGCGTTAAAATGAATGCCCCGACTAATAGTTCTACAGATTCTATTGCATCTGGGACTCTTTCCGCGCACAGCACCCACTTCTGACCATTCTTGACCCGGGTGCACAGACGGAGATGGTTCGCGCTCTGATTGATATATACCGCTTTGAAGGTGAGACGTCTGGGCCTGCTTTCAACTCCCTGGCTAAAACATCGCATAGGGAAGCTTCCTGACTGCAGAATGAGCTTTTGTAAAGGCTTTACGCAGGGTGGATCTAACGCAGATGTCGTCATTGCCGACGCCTTCATCAAGAATATTGAAGAGGGTATAGACTGGAAGACGGCTTATGAGGCCGTAGTATCAGATGCTGAAGGTAGGCCCTAACCTTTAGCACTTTTTTCAGGTTGTGGCGAAAGCCCATCGCTGACCTGATTCCAGACGAGCCTATGAATTGGGGCCTCGAAGGACGAGGGAACCTCGACAGTTATCATGAATTGGGCTACATTCCATGGGATGATAGGGACAAAAAGGGTTCCGGACCGATGTCCCGAACGATATCACGGACTGTTGAGTACTCTTATGATGACTTCTGTATCGCCACCATGGCCCAGACCCTAGGCCATAAAAGTGATGCAGAAAAATATTTCAACCGCAGTACAAACTGGCAGAATCTTTGGAACGAGGAGCAAGAAGATATCTACAGAGATCCCCAGGAAGAGATTGTTTGGAGCGACTATCTAGGCTTCATGCAGCCTAGATTATTAGATGGAAGCTGGCGATATCACAACACACGGCTATGCAGCCCCATCCATCAGTTTCACAGCTGCTATTATGACACGGCGTACGATACTTACGAGGGCAGCCCCTGGCTCTACTCGTTCTTCGTGCCGCAGGACATGGCTTCGCTAGTCGCAGCCATGGGCGGCAAGGAGATGTTCGTCGAGCGGCTGTCATACTTCCACACGTCAGGCATCGCCTACATGGGCAATGAGCAGAGCTTCCTGACCGTCTTTCAGTTCCACTACGGAGCAAGGCCGGGACTTAGCTCATACTTTACCCATTACTATATCCCGAGTCAGTTCAACGCCAGCGTCAATGGTATCCCGGGCAATGACGACTGTGCCATGGGGGCCTTCACCGCTTTCGCCTTCATGGGTTTCTTCCCAGTCGCAGGACAGGACGTCTACTTGTTGATACCGCCGTTCTTCCCCGAGGTCAAGATTAGAGCAAGAAACGACCAGTGGGCGATCATAAGGGCGAAGAACTTTGACCCGCAGCGCAAGGCAATTTATATACAGAGCGCGACGCTGAACGGCAAAAAGTACACCAAGAATTGGATTACGCATGACTTTTTCATGAAAGGCGGCGTGTTAGAGTTTACGGTTGGTGAGACCGAGGGAGCCTGGGGGACCAAGGAGGTGGATCTGCCGCCGAGTTGGTCAGTAAATACACCATAGAATATACATATTTATCGCAATATTATTTAAACTGCTTTGTGATCTTAAGCGGTTTATTTCATGGCAAGAAAAAAAGTGAAGAATATCGAGAATGAAAAGGGGGCTCAGGGGATAGCTGACTAATAGCCACTTTATTTACACGTGATTTCGCGTTAAGCGTGTCAGGTCGGCTTGATCGTTCCCCGTGTCCGAGGATTGGAAATGACCTCATCAGCCTCACTCTCATTCATCTCATTAACAACAACAGAACAGTGAAAATAGCCTGAAGCGAAGCATTCATCGATACCCGTGTAAGATTGCGAGGGTCTAGTCACAATGCCAGCTCGCAAAAGACAAACACCCGACTCGACTCCACAATCCTCGAGCAGCCGTCGCAGGTCGACGCGCATCAGCTCATCAGGCCAAAAGAGCCGCTATTTCGAGGCCGACTCTGATGAAGATGATGATTCCAGCATTCAGGGCGAGTTCAGTGCCAAGAAGCCGAGAAAATCGTATGGGAAGTCAAGCGCCAAGAAGACCAAGATCGTCTCAGACGACGACGACGACGAGGATGACTACCACGATGAAGAACCAGAGGAGAACGGCGCCCAGGAAGAAGACGACGAGGAAGAGTATGACGATGACGAAGCACCGCGAGTGACAATCATCCCAAAGCCAAAGTTGAGAGACATCGATGGGGTCCCATATGAGGATGACAAGCTACACAAAAACACACTACTGTTCTTGAAGGACCTGAAGGCAAACAATAAGCGGTCATGGTTAAAATGTAAGTCAACCACTGTCTCAGTTATCTGTTGTTTGAGTGTCATGCTGACCCATTTCAAGTGCACGACGCTGAGTTTCGGAGGTCACTGAAGGATTGGGAGTCTTTTGTTGAGACTATGACGGAGAAAATCGTCGAGTTGGACGAGACGATCCCAGAGTTGCCTGTCAAGGATGTCATATTTCGTATCTACCGAGATGTGCGATTCAGTAAAGACCCAACGCCATATAAAGTAAGTGGACCGTCTGTGCTTTTGACTCATTTGTCTAGTTCTGACGTGCGTCAGCCGCACTACTCTGCAGCCTGGTCACGGACAGGGCGAAAAGGCCCATACGCATGCTATTATATCCATTGCGAACCCGGCAATGTTTTTGTCGGTGGTGGGCTCTGGCACCCCGAGGCCGGGCATATTCAGAAATTACGCGCATCAATAGATGAGCGCCCTCGACGATGGCGCCGCGTGCTCATGGATGAGGCCTTTCGGAGAACGTTCCTACCGAAAGCAAAGAACACAGAGGAGTCCGTGATAAAGACTTTCACGGAGGAAAACAAGGGCAACGCCTTGAAAACAAAGCCCAAGGTACGTTGACTTTGACCCTGAACACACGTCAATGCTAACACTCTACGAAAGGGTTTCATCCCCGAACACCGAGACATCGAACTTTTGAAGCTGAGGAACTTTACCGTCGGTAAGAAGATATCTGACAGCGTCCTGACAGCCGACAACTGCCAAGAGCAGATTGCCGAAATTGTTCAGGCAATGGTTGGGTTTGTAAGTCCAATAATCTGCCCCTTTTCCCTTGATTCGAGCTTCTATCCTGACAATACCAGATCACGTTCTTGAATGACACTGTGATGCCAGACCTGAGCAATCTAGACGATGATTCATCCGACGATGAGTAAATTATACCATATCATCAAGCGAAGTATCAGGCATGTTGAACAATTCCTTGTCCTTATATTAGTAGCTTGCACAAGTGACGCTTCAATAAAATGACGATCAAAGATACTTTTCTCGCAGTATGCTAGTCATGCCATATTTCCTCGACCGTGCCTGCCTTACGAACATATGATCCCTGCTCTGTTAACTCTATGATTCGAGTCGCGATATGCTCCATAATATGTCGTGTCTTGCCAATTTGGATGGGGATGCTAGGAGCTATTCCCAACTCCTAAATTTGCAGTAAAGCAGGCATGTGACATGCATCAGTTTCCCTAAACTCTCTACAGAGTTTCAAGTGCAGTGAGAACCTGCCATTTTCCCCTTTCAGTTTCCATTTCGTTCCTTGACCAATGAAAGTGCTCTTTGCGGAGACTTGAATTGCAGTGAAATAATTACAGGGGTAACTTTGAAATTCCATTTCGTTCTTTGGTCAATAGAAATGTTCCCACGGAGACTAAAATTGCAGTGAAATGAAATGTATTACCTTTCTTCTTTCTTACCTTGGAAATTCGATTTCCCTCCTTATTTAGTAACAGGAATCTCAAACAAATAGACTACAAATAGTGAATGCGACGGATCCTTTTATTTCTTCACTCAACTTTGCCTTGAGATCTAGAAATCTCTTTCCAGATATACGGCGAGATCGAGAATTGACCTTTAAAACTAAAATGAAGTGAGACGGTCTTGAGAATTTCAATAATCTGAGGTATCTTAATCTAGCTGACAGCAAAATTCGACAAAAACTTTCCAAAGTACCAAAGTAAGCCTACGCTAAATCAACATCCACAAAACGAGATCTTTTGTTCTCGACAGCCAGCATATACCGCGGTTCGGTGGTATATGTAGAACGAGAGCTGTTGCGCAGGGTTCCGCGGCATACACAGACCGCATGCTGCCCAATCTATGGCATTTTCTCGCATCTCAGGTAGCGTTCAGGACCATGAATCTCGTGTCTGGTGCAGAACTCGTCCCGGCCCTCGTGGACGACATGCCCATCTAACCAGGATACACATTGTTCAGAAGCTTGCGATTGAAGAAGCGACGATATAGCTTCTTGCGGAGCGACGTGGCCGTTCATAGAGCTCAGGTAGGTCTGGTACCAATAGAAAACACCGGAAGGCGGGGAAACGACACACTCGATGTCGTGGTTCGGCTAACTCGACAACATTTTACAGTCAACCCATTCCAGGATTCGGCGCCAGCCTTCCCAGAGGCGTCCTATCTCTTGGTTTCTCCAGGATGTCTGCATAGCCTTCAAGGCCAAGGCCCATAACCTTAACCATCTCAAAGATGTGATTGCCTTTGAATGTCTCCGCCCACAACCTAATGACAGCTACTGAGAGTTGCCGTAACCGTGTAGAATCATTGAGCGCCATGTCCATCCTCGAAGGCTGGCCTGCGCCAGTGCCCGAAAGCGATGGGTCGATGGGGACGGCAAACTCGGTTTCGTCTAGCATACGACGGACCATTTCCAGAATATTTCTCTCCTCAGGGGAGATCGGTTCGTTTGGGTTGATCGACGCTAGGGTCATGAGCCATTTAGAGAGAAGAACCGCACATTCGAGGTTGCATACTGTGTAGAATATTATTTAGCGATGAAACACCATACAGCATAGCGGCAAATTTAGGCAAATCAATGATGTAACTTAAATTTACACTCACAGGAATGCTGCATGCTCCATTCAAGCGATTTCGTTCTCGCAACATAATTGACACCAACTTTGACCAGCATCGACAATGCATGAATGGCCTGCAGAATCGCCCTGTGCAAACGAGGACTTCGGACGACAAGTGGTGCATCACTGAATGCTGATGCGATCAATATTGGTTCGCGGCTTTCTAGAACTCGACTGGGTGTCAGGTCCGTATAGAGCCGAATGTAGGCCAGTCGCAAGAGTGCTGTTGAGTTGAAAGCCACCGGTCCTCCAGGAAAATTATCGCTTCCAGCTTGCTGCGCAGATTCAGCGACCCTAAGTCGATGTTGTTCGAATCCAATTTGCCATACACGAAGAGCCTGGCTAACCTCTTCAACATCCTCGATTTTGAGGCCCCGATGAACCTCGAAAGGAGATGCGATCGCAAAGGAGGTTTGCTTCAATAAGAAGATGTGTTGGATCAAGGCGTGGACGAGAATATAATTACCCAGTGAAGATATCGGACTCAAGGCACCTTGAGATGGCCTGTGCAATATCCTGGAGAACGCGTCCGGAAGAGTGATGTCAAGCGTTGGAATTGACTGTCGTGCTTCCTGCCATTGCCATGCACTTTCAGCCCGCCATAATCTAGACGGGCTTGGTAAGAACAAGTTCATTTCCGAAGTGAGAAGCAACGGAGGCGTATTATATGCAATGCTGCACAAGTTGAAGAAGCAGTATGCTATAAGCTTCGTTCGAGTGCTTCCTTCTACTCGAATCCAGGTTTCCCAGTCTGCGGCCTGCGCAGGCTCTCCCAACAGCCCCTCCTCCCGTATGAGCAGAGCAAGCTGACTTTGCAAAGATAATGCGTCATGCAAGATAGCTTTTGCACCCCACAAGCCAATCGAGAACAACAGGAGTATGCCTTGAATCGTCTCAAGCCGGGATTGTGGGTTATTAGGTGAACTGCTTGAGAGTCAGTAACGGTCCAATTTCCATCAAATGGCGAAACTCACTATGGCTCGCGATGTGTATCTTGGGTCATCGGCCGATCTTGATGGACGGACGTGAAAGAATGCCGAAATCCAGAGCTTGGAGATGGCCTTGTGGAATGGGGACTATAAGCCGCAGGCGTTGGTAGCAGTCCATGAACTTCATGGCTATGTCTTCGTCTTATCTGTTCGAGGGCGACTGCTTTCGCGGCATACCATAGCGCATGCCCACGATGGCTTTCGAATCTGTACTGTGCACCGACAGAGAGAATCGCCAGCAGCAGCTCCGGAGCCAGATCAGTTGGAGACAGTGTGGGAATGTGAAGGAATGGAAGATGCTCATGAAATCCACTAATGTAACCTTCAAGAAATCTGGTTAGGGTATGCCGTGATGGAAACACAAAATCGTTCGGAAGGACAGAGGAAAATTCGTCTAATCGATTTTTTATTACAGTATGGTCCACTGCAGAAATTCGCCAGGTCGGTGCGCGCATCAAATCGTCCTGTAACCGCGAAGTCCCTTCTGGATCCCGGGGATCTGGCGCAAGCGATGGGAATCTAGAAGGAAAAGACGATGATGGCTTTGAGGGACCGCGCATATCTCCAAGCGGGCGTGGCCATAGACCAAATGATTGCTCGCTCTCTAGGACCGGTGGAAGAAAGTGTGACGAGGATGCGAAATCATCTAGGAAGAGATGATAATCATCGAAGGAGGGCTGTGCCGAGTGTCCTTGAAAGGCGCCGGGCAGCACTCCCGACTCTTGTTCCCGGCTGCGATCGCTGTAGGGTAAGCCTTCATCATATGTCTTGACTCGAGCGAGTCCATCTTGGGGCTGTCCCATGCCTGTCATCATTGGCTGCATGGTATTAACTTCGGAGGCCGATGCGAGGTGTGTGGCAGCGTCGGAGAGGAGGTCTAAATTACACGCCGGTGCCGCTCTCGGCGGGATGCGCGGATCCGGCGGCAGTGATGAGGCGACCGCCGAAGTCATCGCACCGGGAGGATAGTGTGGCTGAGGGGCTTGATGCTGCAGGCCGAGCATCTCGGTATCGCCATGATTGTCAGCGGGCCCCGCTTGACCGTTTCCCGATGACGCTTTTCGAGGTCGACCGCCATCCTTGTTGCCCTCGTTGAGATGCACCAGCTTCTCATGGCGGACAAGGAGATCGCTGATGTCCATATAAGCATAATCCTTCAGCGTGAGATGAGTTGTATCGAGATGTGTGGATGTGAAGGCATCAGGAAGGATTGATGCATGAGGGACGGGGAGTGTACGTGGGTTACGACAATGAGAAGTAGTAGAGAGCGGAGGATGGTGAGTGGTGGAAGCAAGGCAAGGCGCCAAAGACGCAGACAAATCACACGGATGGATAGGAAAAAGGACTAACTCACCGTCGACCAAACGTTTTCCCACAACGAGCCCAGCCGCAAGAAAATGGCTTCTCTTTGGTATGTGTTCTCTCATGTCTTTGGACATGCTCCACACGCCTAAATCAAAGTATAATGTAAGCTAATATCAGATAAAGGGGAGGTGGATAGAGGGTCTTCCAACTCACCGAAACCGTTTGCTGCAGTATTTACACGGTAAGGTCTTGGGCTTCTGCTGCCGTGTCTCTCCGTTCTCCTCCGTTACGTTCCCCTCTATCGATTGCATGGGGAGCATTGTGTGCGAGGGCAAGTGGCTGATAGCAGCCAGTTTTGGGGTATCGGAAGCAGATGATAGCAAGTACTAATGGGAAGTGAAAGAGTTACGCAGTACGACGTGTGGGGGAAGAAGAGTAAAACAGCTTGGGAGCAGGCCGGCCGGCGATTTTGTGGGGTGAAGTGCGTAGTAGACGGATGATAGATGAATCGAGCAACGCGATCATGCTCCCCCTCAAGTAGACAGGCTGGTTTAAGGCGGAATTACTCTTCTTCTCGGGTTACCCCTCGCCTCTCTTCCTCTCTTCCTCTCTCCTCTCCTGCTGGAAGACTCTCTCCTCCTTTGGGTGTCTCTTGGCTCCGCAGTGGCCCAGTTCCCTGCTTCGAAGGTGACGCTGTCCTCGAAACTTGCAGGAGTAGGAGATGAACCAGGTTGGTCAGGGCTCGGATGAGGTAGCAGCCGGCTTTTGGGTGACTGCCTGCACCAGCCGTGCAATGACGGGACTGAACGGTTGCTCCGCAGGAGAAGAAGAGACAAAGCTCAGGAGAGGTATACGGATGGGCAGTTGTAGGACGGGATGTCCTGTGAGGTAGTGGGGCAGGTGGACGGTTGGCGGTTGGACGAGGAAGCCCTAGAGTCTGTGTGGCAGTGGACGTGCCTGCCGAGAGGGTTCGTCAAGTGGTATCTTGCT